GAATACATCTGACGTGTTTTCATCGCTCTAGCACGTCTTTATCAAAAGTTATAGCCAAAAAAACTGCTGGTGACCGTCCATGACCTGAGATGACCTCAGGGGCACACAGAGGGGTCAGAGGTGCATTTTTTCCGATTCAGTGTGTCATGTTTACCTATGAACCGATGTTTGAGAGGGTTTTGAACATCATTCGTCCAAAAGAGGCGCATTTCAATTTTCTCCCGTTGATTTGTAGTGGAGAGACCGCAAAATTGACCTGACCTTAGGTCACTGATATCAAAATTCTGAGATAAACATTTTATAGATACTGTTACACTTATCAATCGCTGAAGGATGCAAGGTAATCGTTCACTCAGTGTAGCTATGGCGAGCATTCTAATTTTTCTGAGGTGAGGTCACTTGACATGACCTGATGACCTGACCTTGAGCGACCTGGGTCTGAAATTTTCACTGTGCGGAAAAGATGCACAAACAGGTGTGCCAAAAAAAGGCGGCACTCCGCGCCGCCGTTTTTGAGATATCTGCGAAAAACCGCAGGGGGATGTTCAATTATCGGCCCGGCCCGGCGCGGGATAAGTACAGTGATATATCAAAAGAAAAAAAATGCAGGGTCTTGATAATAATTTTGGTTACCCGAAGCATCCACTCTGGTGTGTTGTCTTACCTATCATTATGCTGTATAGAATGTTATGTTACATAGAACATTATCAAATTATATCATTAGGAACAAGATGTGAAAAGCAAACAAACCCGTTAAAAACATGCAGGCTTTTGTCATAAGGTATTTCTCAATACTATTGAAACATGCACTTTTATTTGAAAGTAAGTGATAGGTAAGTACGTTTGAAATTTCACAACAAGGTTATCTATGTTTTTATGTATTCTATGCTGTGTTCTATGTATTCTATTTATTCTCAATATGTTTTCCAAATGGTCAGATAACTTTCGTAAGTACTTTCCCATTTTCTGCGGGGTATGGACCGCGGGAGGTATTCATGTTTTTGATGCTGCACAGCATATATCCAGTAACAGCGAGTCACTGATGCGGTCTCTGACCGTCAACTGCGCGCCACGATTGGCTCCGATGTGTTTTTCTGTTTCTTTTTGCACACGTCAAATACCTGAGGCGTTCTATCCGTTAATGTCAGAGTACCTACCATTTTCCAATGACTGAGTGAGTATAACGCTTTTACCTGCCTATCACTCGCTCCACTACCGTCCAATATAGAAACGGCTCGACCGCAGCATATATAAAACATAAGGATATTTCCAACACTGAATCCAAAGGGGCTGATGACCTCATGCTGGCAAGGTCGTAGTTTTAGCGTATTGGAAGACACCTGCTCACGCATTCAAGATTGGTGATCGGGTTACATTATTGAGAGGGAGAAGAGCGACTGACACATAATTTGCACCTAATTTGACCAAATCTGCACCAACTCTCTTTGAAAATAAACGTCATGAATTTGTTTCAGTGTTTTAATCGAAAATAATGTCCGGTAATTTGAAAAATGGGGTATAAGGAACCCAAACTGATAACTTTTAACAAACACATTGAACCTAATTTGACCAAATATGCACCAAATCTGCACCAAATCTACACCAAATGTGTACCAGATGGCCGTCGTGAGAACGGCTGTTGTTACGCACTTGTTTGTCGCTAGATGTCAGAAATAATCTCTTACAGGAGAGCAACTAGCATGCCGCGAGGCGGTATACAATATACAGGGTAGCCCGTTCATAGAGATCCCGAGGAATGGGACATTACTTTATTTGATCTCGACTTTGGCGGCCGCTCCGCAGGAGGCGCTATTGATCAGCGCATACATAGAGCTCGACCGCAGCAGAATTCAGTCAGCGCATACATAGAGCTCGACCGTAGCAGAATTAAGAAGAATGCAAGAACTATTGGAAGGGGAAAACGCCTATTTAGATAGTAGAAGGTTTATAAGCATATTCGAATATATGACGCCCATTCTCCCATTTTAGCAGCTTATTTTGGCCCGGTGAGGCTTTTTTTTTATTTATTTAGACCTCTCTCCAACGGGTTCAGTACGTCCCAATTACAGGAGAGCTCCTGCTCCTCCTTGTCCTGTCCCCATCCCCCCAGGCTACGGCTGAAGTGGGAGCCTACCCCACACCTGGTGACGCAGCCGGGGACGACGCCCCGCGGGACGGGAGGAACCGGGATTCGAACCCGAATCCGGCACCCCCCCCCCCCGCACCGCGGGACGACGCCTTAACCGACTGCGCCACCAGGGCCGCTTCAAGGAGCATAAAGATTAAAGACGGTTGGAAAAGCCCTCTGATTTTACCGGTTGCCGCGCCAGCCGCAGCCTGCAGGACTGACTCGAAGGGCCCTCTGGGTGTCGGTAGCGGTGGATGCTGGATAGGTATATATATACAGCAGGTCGCCCCGAATTGTCCTTTGGTAGCCCGTCCACACTCCGGACCTCGTCGTGCCGTCCCGACGCCGTACAGCAGGCAGACCGCCCTGGAGCTGATCTCGGGTAACCCGTCCATTTCGTACAGCAGGCGGGCCGCCCTGAAGCTGATCCCGGGTAACCCGTCCACTCCGTACAGCAGATCGCCCTGAACATGTCCTGAAGCTGATCTCGGGTAACCCACCTACCCCCCGGATCTGGTCGTGCCGCGTCTGTACCGGTGAAAGTCTGCGTGCGCTCCATGCTGTCTCCTCGGTACAGTGTGCAGTGGCGGGTCGGTCCGGTCAGGGTCAATGTCAACTACTACAGGTCAGGGTATAAATACCCGCCCGGTCCGGTGGGGCCGGATACTGGACCTGACTGAGGTCGGGAGAGCCACGCAGAGACTCAGGGACGTCACGATGACCAGGGTGAGTGAACAGGGGGCAGCTCTGACCACGCACTGGCAGATGCGGGGGATATGGACATTTCACCTCTCCTGGAATTGATGAAATTTTGGTGATATCTTGGCGTAGAAATTACTTATCTAACAGACTTTATATAAAAATTGTTAAATATTTGATCCAATGATTAAGGAAAGTGAAAGAAAGCGAGACCCGACCCTTCTTCGTTCCAACATGTTTGCTGAGTGTATCCCCGCCCAGTATCCCGGTGCTGGATCCGATAGTGACCCGTTCAAATTATTCTTTTTTATGGAGATCATTGTCCATGATTGGTTCCAAAATGCAATAACAATGCAAAATAAATGTTTTGATCAGAATAACACAAAATAATTAACCATGGCCCCAGTGGGGGGGGGCATATGTTACCACCCTCTCGCGTTTTTTGCGTGTGAATAAAAAACCGCGGCGCGTAGCGCCGCGCCGCTTGGAGTACCTTTCTGTACATCAATTTTGGACAATGTGTGAAATATTTGACCCCAGGTCATGTCAGGTCAGGTCACCAGATCAAGTTTAATGACCAAGCCAAAAAAAGTTTGCAATCATGTCCAGCCTGCAATGTTTGTCACTTGTCAGAAAGGTTTTAAACTTGGTAGATTGCATGATGTTATGGGCGCCTGTAATTTGTATATCTATCGGCAGCTGCTCACGCTCGCTGTTTTCTGTCGACAGCTGCTCACGCTCGCTGTTTTCTGTCGACAGCTGCTCACGCTCGCCGTGCTCTGTGAACGGCTGTTCACGCCCGCCGTGTTCTGTCGACAGCTGCTCACGCTCGCTGTTTTCTGTCGACAGCTGCTCACGCTCGCCGTGCTGCTGTGCCTGTCGGCACTGTCAGCTGCTGACGACAAGTCCGGAGAACAGACTGGAGACCTGGCTACCTCCGCGTCCTCCTACGGAAAGCCGTACGTAGACGTCCCGCCTACACACTACACAGTGTCCGTGAACAAACAATCGTCCCGGTGTACTGAAGCCCAACACTGTAAAAAAAACTTACAAGCCCCTCGTAGAGGAATTCTCAGCGCAAAAATAACATTGCAGGAGCGTGTAAATTTGGCTAATTTTAGGCTAGTTGCCGAGTAACAAGCTTGTTCGACAAGGCTGTGCCTCGTATGCATACGACCACCGTGCTCCACCTAGTTTGACAACACGCACGTAAATAGCGTGGGTAGTGCGTCTACTAGGTGTCATAACAGCCCCTGCCTGGTAAGGTAACTAGCCACTGCCTACTAATCCATACCCAGTAATTGTACTAGCCCCCAAGGCTAGTAGTGGTACTAGCTCAAGGCCAGTAGTGGCACTAGTTAACTAGTACCACTACTGGCCTTCGGGGTCGAGGCACGGAATTCCGTCGACGGAATTCCGTCAACCAGTGCCCCCGACCCTCGACCGCCACCCGCAAGTAAACAGACTGAGTAGCGCTGCAGCACATTTATTCGGGCACGAGAACGAGAACGAGAACGAGAACAATAACAACGCCAGGACAATAACTATAACTTTAACAATAACAACAAAAACAACAACAACAACAACAACAACAACAACTAACTGAATAATTTGCAATCAGGTTTCTTAAATAACCACCATCAAACATTTGTGATTTTTCATTAGCTCTGCACCATGGCGGCAGTCGCGGGGTGAAGGTAGGCCAGGACATATGTGCATGGCCCCATTCTTTACCAGAGAAGTCTGTAATGGGTGAAAAAAAACGAATATTAACATTATTATTATCATAAGGCACACCAATCTGGAAATGATTAAATTAAAGTTGAATAAAGTGATATATTCCTGCCACAAGCTAGCTTACGTCCCAAACATATAGCTATTCTGACTTGGATAGACGATACCGGCGCACTTGCCAACGACGGCAACATTATGCGATACTTACATATACATCTTCTAAGAAGCTCAATAACATAATAACTTTTGTTTACAAATGGACAACCTTTTTGTTGAGCACACAGCAAATGATACAAGATGCCTCACCTTCAATCAAGCCAAAGAGCAGTTGGGCAGACACACACAGTAATGGCGACGCAACACAAAATGGACGCCGGCTCCCGGATGCGGGGGGGGGGGGACTCCTTCTGAAAGCAGCCACAGACTTCTAGGCTGTAACATGCGACGAGGGTAGGTATGAGGCACATCCTCATAGCCATCCGAAGCCGCTTACCACGCAAGCTTACCAGCACGTTTACCAGCTGCAGGCGTTCGTGACAACAAGTGGGGTTGCACGCAAGGTTATCCGTTTATAGTAGGTGCCAGCCGGGGCCTCGTCAGCTGAGCTAATAGCAAAATGACCTAATTGAGGGACACGCCAAAAACTGGCCGAGAACAAGCCAACGGCGGGTAACACTGTGAGGCTGTGCGTAGTTCATTAACATTGCGCAAAATTAGGTTCCTGAACATGCTCTCGCTCGTAGGCATTTGTTCCACAAAGGGCATTGTTAACGTGCATGGCTCTGACTACTAATGTCCATATATGTTGTAACGAGGTGCAAGGGAGGCACTCGTAAAAAATGCCTAATTTCAAAATTAGCTAGTGAATTTTTTTTACAGTGAACACCCTATTTGTTCACTAAATTAGTGCCTCAAATTTGCTTGGTCTGATTGAAATTAACCTTTAAACGAGACGAGTGCTCCTCTTTTTATTCAAAGTCACAAAGTGTTTCGCATCTCCAGAATTTCTGAATCTGCTCATCATGCTGTAAAGTGTAAACCATACCTCGTCGAATATTTTGCAAATTTCAAAATGCAACATTTCACATTTCTGACGTTAAAAAAAACATTTCCTAATATTTTTACCAGGGTGAGATTGATTTAAAAATTGTCGAGGCGACTGATGTTTGGCGGGTTTTATCGCTCCAAATGGCCTGTTATTGCCTCCTTAGATTCATCGGCGAAACCACCCATGATCTGCTGTTTCGCTTTATGTTCCAGGACATACGTTGGAATTGGTCACGTTTCCACCCATGCCCACGGTACTGGGTATGGGGGATACGGCCATAGCGGATACGGACACGGTGGATACGGTGGATACGGCGGATACGGCGGATACGGTGGATACAGCGGATACGGCGGTCATGGAGGGTAAGTGAACACATTTATCAGTAGGTATTGGTAATATGATGTCTCCTTAACCCTCGCCGGCCGAGGGGGGGGGGCGGGTGCCGCCCCCCATAGGGTTTTTTCGCGATAGCTCCGAACACGCTGGCGATAGAGAGCTGAAACTTGGCATACCTGACCTTTGATCCAAGCCGCACCTTTTGACACCAACTGCATTTTTGGGTCAGGTCAGGTCACTGACCTATGACGTCATAAGTGAACCTCTGCACGGTCTTCAGATGTCGCAACTTCGCAACGCCCTCACTGCCAGAGGAGATGTCACAGGGAAATGAAACTTGCAGGATCTAGTATCCATTATGAGTCTCACAACTTGTATATCTCGGATTTTTCCTAAAGGTCATATGAGGTCAGGTCATTTTCGTGACCTCACCATTAAGGTAAGTCAATGGGGAAAAATGAAAACTGCTATTCAGGCGCCGGGAACGATCTCCAACTATCTCAAGCACACAGAATCGTGATTTGATGCACTCCTTGCAAGGTTAGATGCATCACTTTTGCAATGTTGACCTTGCGTGACGTCATTTATGACGTCATCAAGGTCATATTAGTTTTTCGTCAATAACTCCCGATCAAATTGAGCTAGCGAGTCGAGAAAGTCACCAATGGACTCAGGAAGACCTGCCGAATCGAATGATATGCGACATAACCTCTTTTGACCAACTTCGTGACCTGGGGGTGCTGACCTGACCTTGACCTGAGGTCAACACCCCAAGTTGACCTGACCCGAACAAAAAGTATATCATTCGACGTGCCTGAGCGAGGCGAACACGATGCTGCCAAAATCGCGGCTCTGCGGCCGTTTTTTTGCCGAAGTTATTCACCAAAAACTGAACCGTACCTTGGGGCACTTGACCTGACCTCAGAGGTCACCTGTTGACCTAGGACCTTAAAATCGGGTACCACCTCTGCGTCTCGTAACGGCGCACACGCTCGTTTTTTCCGCGACGCGCTAGCTCCACCAGGGGCGAAACGGCGAGGGGGGGTCGTACCCGCCCCCCCCCGGCCGGCGCGTATGTAGAAAACCAATAGGTCCGGCGAGGGTTAAACGGCCAGAGGGTTGAAGCGTCTCAGACGACATACCTACGGCCGGTATGATTTTATATTTCGATGTAAAGTTTTGATATGAACTGCTATTTCCACTGTTTGTTGTTCACGTCTTGAGGCTCAATGTGCTAATGGTTAACTGATAATTTTTATCAACGTTTTGATTTATAAAATAGTTATGTATAAATAACTATGTAAATGTCGTTATTTATGTATAAATAATTCCATATGTATATAAAGCATATACAAGTACACAAATACAAATGTTGCAAAATGCTACAGCGGCTTCAACGTTCGTGATATCACGAACGTTGCAGCCGCTGTAGCATTTAACAATATTTGTATAGAAAACAATCTGCCTCTGAAGTACACTGAAGGACACAAATATATACAAATTCAAATGTGTACAAATTTGTAAAAAAAGGTTAAATATAATTTTTGAGACACGTTTTCTTGTTATTCTTTTTTTCAGCTACGGCGCGTACGTGGAGCCGGCGTACGGACACGTGTGGGGACGCAGCTACGGATACACCGTGCCCATTTACGGATACGGATACGGCGGAGGATACGGCGGAGGATACGGAGGATACGCCGGCGGGTATGGCTACGGCGGGTAAGTGCTGCCATCTATCACTGGGTTAATGCTGCCCTCTATCAGTACGTCAACGTCAGTGCTGCCATCTTAGTGGCTGATGAGTGGTGTCATCTGTATATAGATAAGTGCTGCCATCTATCGGCCAATTCTGTCACTTGACAGAATGGAAAACGCTGGTGTTTTGAGGTTTCTTCGTCGATCCATCGCTCAAAGTCTGTGTTCTCCTTTCGAGTGACCGTGTAGTGGGCTGTGCTGCCGGACTTACTGAGGAGAGCCACTGACAGCGACACTTTTACTCGGCTGAGGGGTGCCCCATCAGCTAGGTGGGGTCGAGGTCGACTCAGTGCCCTAGATCTCTAATTCGTCAGCCAGCTCACAAGATCTTCCGAGTCCTACCAAATAAAACAAAAACTGCATATGTGTCTTTATCAGTGTGTTTTATTTATAGATGGACGGTTACGCGATTCCAAAGCCTCGATCAACTGATGTCTGACTTTCAATAAGCATTGAGCGACCGTAGGCCAAACTGTAGGCGAGCTAGACCAGCTGGGGCGACCATGCCTTCTACAAACCTACCTATACTCACCTCCGTTATCCAGTGAATTATAGCTGATACCGTTTCTCTTTTCCCAGGTACGGCCACTGAAACTGTCATCAGGTCAGAGCTGGTGTAAGGCGGAGGTGGACCAAATATACGTCCCTGTGCCAGCCTCTGCCAATGACGCAGCTCTACTCCAATGACGTCATTGGTGCTCTCCGATAACGGGAGATGGGATAGCTGGGTTAGAAAATCATCCAGGGAAGGACGCACTTTTTGCTGCCGTGTTCACTGTCCTGTGTTTATTGTTGTGCTTTCGATGTTAGCGATCTATTTAGCCGTCGTAAGATGATCCGCTACTGTCGATGAATAGCGGTCTTGTAGCTGTGATTTTCTTATTACGAACGGCAGGACCGATTTCATGAACGTATGGTGATATTTTAGATTGTCATTATTGGAACCTATGTGAGTAACTGCGGGCAGATTTAGTCTGCCACTTTTTGTGCATGGATTCTTGTAACCAGACGGTGCTTTGTAGTTGTATTGTAACAGTTCGCTTCGCCTCTGTTGCTATTTCTTGCCATGATACAAATGTCTTTCTAATATAATGTTTAGATTTAAATATTTACGTCGACTTCTGATAATTGGTTCCTAACAATGGCCGGAGGCAAACAACTTTGAAGGAATACAAATGCTTTGCTCAGTCAAAACTTAGTGAATTCATCAATCATTTACCAGTCATTGCAGTCACGTTAAAAACTCACAGTGCCCTCAAGAATGGAGGACGGACTAAACGTTCGCTCGGTTACGGGCGGAAGTGGCAGAGCCTACAGCCGCTGGTCGATGGCCGAGTAAAACAACAAGAACATTCATCAATTACAATGAAAATTTTGCAAAAAAAGGCTAGATAAGTAAGAAATGACATACTTTACCTGACATCTACTATCCATATATGTGCATGGAATCACCTGGATACGTGACTCGGTAGACTGCCTTTGGAGGGATCCACCCGGATCATCGATCCCTGTTCTCGGGTTCTCGGTTTGTCGTCAGATCCTGTGAGATCATTGATAACTACATAATACGTTTAGTGTGGGATCCAACGGGATCATAGAGCCCAGCTTGTCGTCTGCTGAATTGTACCGAAACCATATATAGATTCGTGACCTAGATCTAGGTAAAGGTACGCAAAGTTTGCTGTATAGAAACCATATCAACTCCACCGTGTCAGGGAGTGGTCAGCGATTCAAAATAGTGGAGTTGAGTAAGTATAGTGGTCAGCGATTCAAAATAGATTCATTATTAAAGTTATTTTTAACACACATCCATAGTCGAAGTTCCAGCAAAAACTGTCATATTTTAACCTTCCAGGCGGTGGAGGGGGGCATTTTTTGCCCCCCTTTAGTTTTTTCGATATATATCGAGAACCGCTGCGCCGATCGTCACCAAACTTTCAGTATCCTCCCGGGAGCAGCTAGCGCACATGGTGACCAAAAATTTTTCCAAAGGCTATGATAGGTTTGCCGCTAATGACGTCAGAGTGACGTCATTTTTGCCATTTTCGACCAAAAAAAAAAAAAGGTTTCGTGGGAAGAGCTGTCAGGCCTACAGCCCTAGAGATACAGAAACATGTTTCAGACATAAAAGGTGTGGAATTAAAAGGGCTACAAAACTGCTATTTCGGTTTTTCGATTTTTTTTTATTTTGACCCCGAAAAATAAAAAAATTGATTTTTTGAATAAAATAGCCAAAAAATCCAAAAAGTTTTTTGAATTTCGAAATAAAAACGGAATATATGTGAAAGCCCCTACCGCCTGCTATCTACATACCAAATTTGAGATCGATACATTTTTTTTTTGGCCAAGTTATAGCGAAAAAACTGTTCAAAATTGATGACGTCAAATTTTCAAACTCATTTTTTTTTTTTAGCAATTATAGACCTCGTAGCGCAAAACAAAGACCACCATTAGACTCCCCGTGACGAGCTGCATCGAATCGATACCCATTTTATGCAAAAATATCAACTTTGAAATTTGACCTTTTTTGACCTGACCTTGACCTGACCTCCACCAGAAAGTGACCTAAACCGTACCTGATGGTCTTATAACCAACACCATTGAGTTGGAAATGAAAAACTGGCCATAAAACATGCATCGCATAACCTTAGTAAAGTTGGGCTCATGTGGTGACCCTAGGTGACCTTTGGTGACCTGACCTGTGACCTGACCTGGTATGACCAGTGACCTTTAACCTTCCAGGCGGTGGGGGGGGGGCATTTTTTTGCCACCCCTTTAGTTTTTTCGATATATCTCGAGAACCGCTGCGCCGATCGTCACCAAACTTTCATTACCCTCCCGGGAGCAGCTAGCGCACATGGTGACCAAAAATTTTTCCAAAGGCTATGATAGGTTGGCCGCCAATGACGTAAGAGTGACGTCATTTTTGCCATTTTCGACCCAAAAAAAGGTGTCGCGGGAAGAGCTGTCAGGCCTACAGCTTTAGAGATACAGAAAAATGTTTCAGACATAAAAGGTGTGGAATTAAAAGGGCTACAAAACTGCTATTTCGGCTTTTCGAATTTTTTGGATTTTGACCCCCAAAAATCAAAAAAATAGATTTTTTGAATATAATAGCCAAAAAATCCAAAAAGTTTTTCGAATTTCGAAAAAACCGGAAAATATGTGATAGCCCCTACCACTTTCTATCTACATACCAAATTTGAGATCGATACCTCTTTTTTTGGCCAAGTTATAGCGAAAAAACTGTTCAAAATTGATGACGTCAAATTTTCAAACTCAATTTTTAGCAATTCTAGACCTCATAGCGCAAAACAAAGATCACCATTAGACTCCCCGTGACGAGCTGCATCGAATCGATACCCATTTTATGCAAAAATATCAACTTTGAAATTTGACCTTTTTTGACCTGACCTTGACCTGACCTCCACCAGAAAGTGACCTAAACCGTACCTGATGGTCTTATAACCAACACCATTGAGTTGGAAATGAAAAACTGGCCATAAAACATGCATCGCATAACCTTAGTAAAGTTGGGCTTATGTGGTGACCCTTGGTGACCTTTGGTGACCTGACCTGTGACCTGATCTGGTATGATCAGTGACCTCTAATATCAACATATGTACTAGACAACTGACGCCTTATCGCTGATTTTCGACAAAATGCGTTTTACTCGGTGTTATAGCGCTTTCCCTAGAAGCCCCGTGAACGGTGAAACATTTTATCTTTGACCTGACCTGTGACGTCATCGGTGACCCCGAGGTCAATGAAATTTGGTTTCCTTCGACAAATTTGACAGGGCTATCGAACGCCGTTTGAATTTTCCGGATCCGTCCAGTAGTTTCGGAGATACGGGGGGGGGGCAAAAAGTGCCCCCCCCCCCCACCGCGCGGAAGGTGGCTGGTAGGCCCACCGCCTGCCGGGCTAATAGCAACATATGTACTAGATAACTGACGCCTTATCGCTGATTTTCGACAAAATGCGTTTTACTCGGTGTTATATTATAGCGCTTTCCCTAGAAGCCCCGTGAACGGTGAAACATTTTATCTTTGACGTGACCTGTGACGTCATCGGTGACCTTAAGGTCAATGAAATTTGGGTTTCTTCAACAAATTTGACAGGGCTATCGAACGCCGTTTGAATTTTCCGGATCCGTCCAGTAGTTTCGGAGATACGGGGGGGGGGCAAAAAAGTGCCCCCCCCACCGCGCGGAAGGTGGCTGGTAGGCCCACCGCCTGCCGGGTTAACGGCGTCTTTGATGGGTGACATTTTTAAGCTGACATTTTCATAGTATTATTAGCGTGTCAACTTTTGCCACGCACACAGCACATCCTAAGCTGACGAGAACCCGGTGTTTCGTGGTGGCGTGGGTAAGAAGGGGAAGGAACACGAATTGAACCACGGCTTATTTATTTACCGACACTGACAACTCTCTCAAACAGTCCCGCCGATAATACATTGACACCAGTAGCTGCCGAGATATACGATAGCACACAAACGGTACTTAAATAATTAACTAATATAAATAATCGTATTTACACCTATTTACATTGCGCGCGTATTTCATATACCTAATGGTGTGACGAAATCCCGTGTTAAAAACAGAGAGGAAAGGATGCACACAACCGCTACGCTTAAATACAATATTTCAAATACCTTTTTACAATTCATAAACCAACGTCACAATATGTCAATACACGTCAACGCACCATCGTTCGTAACTCTACTAATTTTCATCAAACCACAGGATGCAATACCGACAAAGAAAATAACTTGCTTTGCCAGTCCGACCACTTTTCTCTCACCATGTAGACTTTGTGCATATTACGTCCTAAATGTCGCAAATCTCCAAGTATTTTTAGTGATTTCTTCAAATGTGTTCTAGTTCAGTGATCAGCCCAGTGATTTTTTTACGGAATATGTCACTATTTCGGCGAGTCATCACCAAACACACATGTCTGCAATCATGTCAGCAGTGTCTGAGACCTGTCCTCAAACTATACACTGAGAAGACACGTCACAGACTCTCGTCTTGGCACCACCGCTATCCCTGATATCACGTGCTTCGACCGACTCTGTAGCATCGCCACCCAAGTGACCATCACGTGGCCCGCCATAGGTCAAAGCACGGTGATCACATGGCACTGACAAACAGCCGTGTGGTAAGTCACGTGACAGATACCCACTGCAACAGCAACACACGTTGGAGCTCAACAAGTAAGGTGGTGGTGAAGATTCACCACAAGATCACGTGATCAATTCGAGGTCGCATGATTTTCCACCAAGCGCACTGCAGCTGCTCACCAAACAGCTCGAGGTCACGTGACCCGTACCGTCAAGGGAGCTTCAGTCATGTGACATGCGCTCCGTTAGAGCTCCACAGCTCGGGGTCATGCGACCTGTGCCGCCACCGGCGCGTGTGTCACATGACGTGTGCCGGGTTACAGCTGCTCGAACAGCTCGGAGATGTGGTAGCGGTCACGTGACGTGTGCTGGGTTACAGCTGCTCGAACAGCTCGGAGATGTGGTAGCGGTCACGTGACGTGTGCTGGGTTACAGCTGCTCGAACAGCTCGGAGATGTGGTAGCGGTCACGTGACGTGTGCTGGGTTACAGCTGCTCGAACAGCTCGGAGATGTGGTAGCGGTCACGTGACGTGTGCCGGGTTACAGCTGCTCGAACAGCTCGGAGATGTGGTAGCGCTCCGTTCTGAAGTCGGTGGAGCTGGCGGCCGCCGGCGGCGTGATGTCCGGCGAGCGCAGCCACAGACCTGGGGGCAGCAGGGGTCAGAGGTCAGGGACCGCAGCCACAGACCTGGGGCAGCAGGGGCCAGAGGTCAGAAAACGGGGGTCATAGGTCAGGGACCGCAGCCACAGGCCTGGGGGGAGCAGGGGTCAGAGGTCAGAAAACGGGGTCAGAGGTCAAAACAGGGGGTCAGAAGTCAGAAAACAGGGGTCAAGGGGTCAGAAAACAGGAGCCAGAGGTCAGGGACGGAGGCCACAGGCCTTGGGCAAACAGGGGTCAGAGGTCAGAAAACATGGGTCAGAGTGCAAAAATCAGGGGTCAGAGGTCAGCAACCGCAGTCACAAGCTTGGGGGCAGCGGGTCAGAGGTCAGAATTCAGGAGCAGAGGTCATAAGTCAGAAAACAGGGATGAGAGGTCAGGGACCGCAGCCACAGGTCAGTAGACAGGTGCCAGACGTCAGGGATTGGTGACCTGGGGCAGGCAGGGGTCAGAGAGGTCAAAGGTAAAAAATATGTAAAATTTCAGCAAGCAGGGGTCACATGCCAGAAAATATTTGCTATAGTTCCGAAAACAGGGATTTAGGGTTACGGTACGGACCCTTGCCACAACTCCTAGACAAATAGTATACAAAGATCATGGGTCAGATTCAGAAGTCAGAGGCGTTAGGTCAGAGGAGACTGGAGATCACCGTTCATACCTAAGTAACAATCCACATGTTAGTACCGAAGCGTAAAATGTCATATGTCAAGCTGTCAAATGTCAAAACAGAAGATTGAGATGATTGATGGCCAGGAGACGGCTGTTCCGCGCTTCTGAGGACGGAGGTCACCAGACAGAACTGATGAGGTCACGGAGGTCATCAGACAGAACTGATGAGGTCACGGAGGTTACCAGACAGAACTGATGAGTCTGAGGAGGAGGATTATCTAAATGCAGAAGACATAGGCCAGTTGATGAGAACACAAAGTCCAGAGGAGGGATAGTATTGTTAGTGGTAGACATAAGACAGAGATCGTAGTTCAGAGGATGAAGGCTGGGATCAAATGAAAAGATCAAAGGCCTGCGCTCAGTCAGGTGATCGATTCGGTGCATCTAAGTTTACAGCTACCACGCATTCATACGTACCAGCATAAATACGAACGACACATAACTATGTAGGTACGTGAAAAGAATATCGTTGCATCCTATCCAGTTTCTTTTTTCTTTTGTAGATGGCTGACATCCTGCGTATGGTCACATATATTCCATTTCAAAAGATATCACTATTTTTGTTGATGCATCGCTATCCCCGGCTACAGACCAAACAGATGTCATTTCACAACTGTAAGCCGCTACGTTTCAACTTTCTCTCCGGTGTGCCTTAGAAGTGTACGTTTTGTCCATAGACTTCTTGGGCAGAGCCAGGGCAATAGGTCTCCAGCGGTGATGCACGCTGTAGACCTCTCGACTGCACAGTGCACAGGCTGGATATGATAACCAAAGGCCGGACCGAACAGAGCTAATGCCGCGCTCAGCATGGACATGTCGTTACTGAGCGGAGCCGATTGCAGACAGCACAGTTTTACTGAGGCTGAGCTGAGCTGTTACTGAGCGGAGGTGACTGCACAGTTTGATCATATTCACTGTCACTATTACCTACCGTGTAAAGGCCTGGCTACACTTTGCGTTTTCTGCGTGCTTTTTTGCGGGTTTGCGTGTTTTGCGTGGTATCGTCCTAGAAAAAAGACGATATAATGCTTTTTTTGATGTTTTTTTATATTAAATGTAGTTAATATCAGAGTTATATTAACTTTTGTATATGACTATTGCAAACTAATGTGAAAATTATATTATTCATAACTTTTTTTCTAGAGCGGCATTACGCAAAAAACGCAAACCCGCAAAAAACGCACGCAGAAAACGCATAGTGTAGTCAGGCCTTTACTCTATGACAACTGCCGACTGAAATATGAAAATTACGTCGCGGGCCCAAGTCGAGCTCAGTTAAAAACTGGCAGTCTAGAAAAAGCTTTCAATAAATGCCGGGTCCAATGTTCTCCATGTCAACAGCACAATATGTCGGCTTAGTGTCCTTTTAGCGGATCCTACAAAGAAGCGAAATGCAGCTATATGGGTTATTGGCTCCATACCTAATCCTGCGAGATATTTCGTTACCGATGTGGCCGTTATAGATCCGCATTTCGGGCTCTATTGGCGCATAGAAAATGTATCACAGTATTTGAATTGTAAGAAGTCTACCTTCTGGGAATAGTTTTTTCGTTATCACCACATATTACCAAAGAGGAGGCAATAACAAATGCGTTACAGGACAAAGCTATACGCAGCCAGCTGAAACACGAGACTGAGACATAGCCAGCTCGAATGCTGACGATGCAATGCCCAGGTTTCCCTTCCCTTCCCTGTCGAATGGCCGTTAGCGCCGCTGGCTACGATGAGACTAATTCCTACGGATCGGAGTGCCGCGGAGCAGGGACTGGACTGCAGTAGGACGTCTTAGTGGACTCGTAGCAGCACAGGGAAGCAGTGGCGGATCCGGGGGGGGGGGGACAAAATGGGCATTTGCCCCTCCCAAACGGCATAATTTTAACATTACGCCTATGGACGAGGCATGGTAAGAATCGATAAATTGTTATGGTTTGCCCCCCCCCAAAAAAACTCTGAGCTGGATCCGCCACTGTAGGGAAGGGAAGGAGCGCCAGAGGGTAGGAGTTCAGGAGTGTCTTGTGTCCTGAAAGACTATCTGGGAATGAAGAGAGATATCCATGGAAGTGTATGATATTTCGCAGGAAAGAAATATTACAAAGTACTGATGAGATAATAGCTGGCGGGGAGAGACTTTGTCACAGCCGAGGACTGCGTATCACGGTGTTACTGGATTGGATGTCGATTTATCTGACTCAGTCACTCTGAAGTCTTGCTCATTATCTACCCATTGGCCATTACCTTCCTCATTCTCTCAGCTGTCTCATTATCTCCCCACTATCCATGAATACCTCCCTCATTCTCCATCACTCTACCCCTCATCCCCCTCTCGTCATCTCCCCCATCTCCGCCGCCCCTCACCTGGTGCCGTGGTTCCTTCCGTCTGGATGTTGGGAACAGCAGCGGCCTGCGCTGCCGGCAGCGCCACCGGCATCACCACCACCAGCAACACCAGCATCAGTAGCAGCAGCGGCAGCATCAGCGGCAGCGACCGCGGCAGAAGCGGCGACAGCGGCGACAGCGACAGGCTTCGACACCGCCATCGCGACTGTCCCTGTCCAGAAACACAGAGAAACACCGGGACTGTGAGGGGTTTCACATACAGGTGCTCTGATCATTACAGAAGCTCTAGATGTTCTACAGAAGCTCTAAGAAGGCCCTAGGATCCTTAAATTTTACCATTTTATTATACCGGTGTTACTGAGTGCTGTACAATGTACATTTTCATTGTTGCTGTGTAAGTACCTTTAGAGATTGATAACTAATTGCCGATGGATATGAATGGGTTCTGAGTGCCGAGTGCCGACACATGAAGAATATCCGGATGTGTGAGCATAGTTGCTGCATCATATAGACAATCAGTTATGGTGAAATGTAATGGTGAAGTGACGCCATTCGAGGAATATTTTGATATATAATGTCTTAGTTTCGATGACAACTTCGATGACAAGCCTCGGCGTCGGGCGTAAATTAGTCTAAATCTCGCAATAGCTTCAAATCAGCTTGCCTTATCGTTTCTGCTTTCACGGGTGGAGAATGTTTGAAAAAGTTACCCCGGCCGGCGACCGAAAGTCAGAAAGACGATGATGCTCAAATATTTGTCAACGGTTATCAACAAACCCCTATTCTGTGGCATATATGCCATTCTATAGAATAATGGATGTCTGCCGTTTGTACGTTTTTAGGGAAAACTGCTGCACGCAGGTGCGGAAGATTTCGTAATTGTAACAACAATTTTGCAACACGCCTTAAAATTTCGGACGCATGTCACCTAGTGCTAGGTCAGGTCATCAGGTCAAATTTGCTGGATGATCGTGCTAAAAATGCCATCATGCCCTTTTCAAAGCTTATTCCGTGGAAGTTGCAACCTTCCCACACAAAACAAAATGTCAAATTTGACCGTTTTGACCCTCTCATTGATTTGAGCTCGCACCTGAAATATTATTCGCGACCGAGCCTTAAACGAGTAATCGAATGTTTTGTTTGCAGTGTTTAAGCTCCGTTATGCTCATGAACTGTGAGGAAAGTTGTCGGAGAACGCTAAAATCAGAGAAATTTGGCTTTTGATGATCTATGGTGAGTTTATTATTGAGCTTGCCTAAAACATGACCAGATTTCTCTGGTCACGTTTGTCGCTCTTTCAAACGTCGTTCCGCTTCTCGCCTCGTAGCCCAGTAGCCGAGTTATAAGAAGGAGTTTCACGCTCCTTATAGAAGGAGCGTGAAAAGCCCACCTCTCGACTCAACGTGTTACGATAAGGCCACCACCCTGGCGCGGGTTAGGTTGGGGGAGCCTTGAGCCCCAGCAGCTCGTCCTTCTATCTCACTGATATTACCCTCGTCCTGTCTTGTGATGTTATTACAGTGCCATCTTACGATAACGGCCCTTAAATATGATTTACTTCTGTTTGATGAAACATGTCGGGCTCCGCGACTTAGAAACATAGAAGCTCCAAAATGAAAATAAAGCAAATTTTCCAGAACTGTTCAAAGTTGATAAGAATAATGAGAGACGCTTTTATAGATGGCAGTTTTTTCATATGGAGATAGCTTTTAGGATTTACAAAAGTGGAAAAAGTTACCCCGGCCGCGCCGGGGTCGGCTGAAAGTTACCCCGGCCACGGCCGGGGTGGCCAGGGCACGTTCTCCACCCATGTCTGCTTTATATGGACAGAACATTTGAGAGGTGCTTCATTCAAGTCATTATATTGCATAATTACAGCAGATCAAAATTACTTTTGGTTAATTGGCAACTTGTAGGTACATTCCGTCAGTTATCTACGATTCCTAGACAAGGCTATTATTTTGGCAGTTATTGATGTCAACGCAGCTGCGCTGGTTTTCAAGGCAACTGTAGGATACTGACAGCAGGCATTGCTGGGAATTCCCCTCACCCCGTCGTATACACCTTTCTGAAAATATCAAACAACTGACTTCTCACTGTAACATGTGTTCAGTGTTGCCATAAGGAGGGACGCCTGAGCGCTGTGTGACGAGCTTGGAATCTATTTTGATGATAGCTGCGTCGTCTGATATATAAAAAGCCATTCATAAAAGCATTAAATTGAGTCATCTCTTTAGCCATGCAGGCCTGCACTAATGCATGAATCGTCCCATAGAGATCAGTATCCCCAATATCTGTGCAGCCGTCATTACCGAGTCCCGGTCTCTGAGTGCTGGATAGAAACATGTGAAACAATAATGTTCTGTTCAGTCTCTCAGACATTGAGATGGTAACAATGTGTCGCTAGGGGTAACTGCAACCGGTCGACATTCCTCGCGCAACGTCCGTTGGCGACCATCGGTATCCCCTGATATTCCTGATTTTCCGAGCTGTTGTCGCGATCTTTCCCTATCCCTCGTTCCGATTTCCCATACTATTGATATAAATTTCCCGAGTTTACTGATATCTGCGATATTCCGTCTATCCCATCGCCCTCTACTATCCACCCTATCCCCCACTATCCGCCCTATCCCATCCCCGCTGATCGTTATCCCCAATATCCCCTGAATCCCCTGTCTCCCCGATCTATAGCTGCCCCCCCATACCGGGCAGGAATGCGGTCCGCCCCCCTGCACCGGCCCGGGGGGGTGACATTGAGGCCGTGTTCCACTCCTTCGCCCGTCCTCGATACAGTGGTGATAGCCACTCCCAGATCGGTGATAGCCACTCCTCGATCAGTGACGGACATCAGATTCAGCGCCACTGTGTGCTGACTAGCAGCGATATACACTGGCCAGCCACCGGCATCAGCAGTGACTGTATGGTGGACTGGACTGTACCTATAGTGGACTGGACATCAGCAGCGACTGTATGGTGGTCTGGACATCAGCAGCGACTGTATAGTAGACTGGACATCAGCAGCGACTGTATAGTGGTCTGGACATCAGCGGCGACTGTATGGTGGACTGGACATCAGCAGTGACTGTATAGTACCTGGCCATTAGCCGACTACACCGACCAACTGCTGTCGTCGCGACTATACAATATGCTCGCCGGCAACCGACATTTTTTTTTTTGCGGCAGGGGAGGGATTGGTGGCAACTAGCCGGCGTAGACATCCGCAACAGTCTGGGCTACAGCTGATCGTCAAAAACTAGCTGCTGTGATGGAATCTCTGACCTCACTGATCAGTGATCACTTAGTCACTGATGGAGCCATTGCCATTACTGATCAGTGATCACTTAGTCACTGATGGAGCCATTGCCATTACTGATCAGTGATCACTTAGTCACTGATGGAGTCACTGTGCCACTATACCATTGACACAAAAGTATGACGCTCAAATTTGGTACACGGTGGGGGATCAGCGAGTAGGGTGCCGTGCAAAATTCAGTCGGGAGTTCGGGACCCAGTTTGCACGTGCACACGTGCAGGGTGCCTCTTCCACATCTCAAGAGCGGCTGGGCCGATTGCGCTCGAATTTTACACACCGCTAGGCAGTGGTTGGTAGGGCCTCCTCCAGCAATTAACGTACACAGCAAGGCAGTGCCTACTGAGAGGTCACTGGCAGAAATAAATATCATCGCCGATTATATCTTAGCAAGGTTATGCCGTACCGTGTAGATCATGTATGTAAATCAACACGTGATTCTGCCCGTTGCCCATTGCCAAAGCTACAGCCTGGATCCGCCTATGCGACCTTTGCATTGGCAACCTGGATCCGCCTCTGTGACTGTTGCATAAGTTGAGCGAGTATGACGTCCTCCCGAGTATTTTTATTGGTTTGCGGGCCGGTCCAACGACACGCGACCCACACCCCCTGGCCCACCACAGACGGCACCCACTAGCCAGGTGCTGAGCGGCTGCACAGGAAGGGCTTTGGGTCGGAGCTGCTACAAACCAGGTGCTCAACGGCACGCAACTTATGGCACTTTGCAACAGGTGTGGGCCGCTTCAGGGAAAAGTGCCACTCTTTCAGAGATCGGCACAGTGCGAACATGCAACACGGTTTCAGAGTAAAGCTTGTGCTTCGTTTTGTTGGGAGGTTTACATTATATTATTTCTTGAGGATTATCTGAGACTGCAGCATGACATAGTGCTGTAGACGGTCAGGTCTTTTGTTAACATGTCAATGGCCCGCAATAGAATAGTTCTTATATAGTAAATCTCGCACCCCTATTGTTTTCGACCCTTGATACAAGTGTGATAATTTATCCGACAATTAGTACCTAATAATACGAAGATGTTGATTACTAAACAAACGGAATTACTATTGGAGACACGAGCCTCGTCTAACATGTTGACCTACAATTCAAAGAATCTAGGACCGCCATCAATTTGTCCGACACTTAGTCCAAGTCAGTATAACTCCATAAAATGTAATCGAATCTCAGCACACAAGAAAACTGTAACTCTACACCGGCACAGAGGAAGACCGTAACTACTTGTATGAGTGGGCGTACGACAAGAATTTCAATATACGTCCGCGGCGTGCAGCGAGGGCATGTTTGGCATAGTTCTAGAAATCCCAGCCAATCACCGGCGCCTCCCAGACGATCTGACCGGAAGTCACCCCCCCTCTCCCTCACACCCTCCCCTCCGACAATGAATGAGGTGGGGCGATAATTACCACCTCAGCCCACCCTTCAGCAATGAATGAGTCACAAGTAATCGCCCCTGGCGGCCCCACCTTTCAATAGCGGAGGCGGCCAACCACTAATCCCACGTGCCCCGCCCCACAATGAACATTCCTCGGACGGCGGCCTGCAGACACCTCTCTGCGCGGCGGTAAATTACCGAGCTGGTAATTACCGTCCGTGGTGACTGGTAATTACCACCCTGTACGTCCGACCGTGGTGGATGGAGGCATTCCTGAGACATACCGGGGACGCAGCGGGCACGTGCGGCACATACCGGATCACGTATAGACGCTCCCCCCTCCCCATTGTATACCAGCAGCTATAGACTCCCCTCCCCTCCCCCTCATCGAATACCTGATCACTTGCAGAGTACCCCCCCCCTCCCCATCCTATACCAGCAGCTATAGACTACCCTCCCCTCCCCCTCATCGAATACCTGGTCACCTACAGAGTACCCTCCAGAGTCACCTGC